AAGGCCAAAAGAAAGAATGACAGACTGACTATTCCCAAAGAGCACAGCCCACCGAGAGAGGAAGACATAACCTCAGTTGGGATGCCGTGGTAAGGATCGAAGTTTAGTAGCATAAAGCAATGCTGCAAACGTCTGAAGTGAAGAGGAGGTTCATGGGACTCAGTGTTCAGACTCTCAATTGGTGAAATGCAGAAAGCCCCTGTGCAGATCCAAAGCCCCAGATGATGTACAGAGCCTAACATATTCAAGGCAGAGGCCCTAGCAGAACCTGACGCCATAGACCCATAGTACAACTTGAATCTAACGAGGGTACGATAGATCTTTTGCATAGAATATCGATCCACTCTCCAAGCAGAGGAAGAGAAGACACAGAGGATGTTCAGTGTCCGTTTACACTTGACACGAATCTGCTTAACGTGAGAAATGAAAGTAAGCGTATGGTCAAAGATAAGCCCCAAGCACTTCATCTCAGGAACCATGGGAATAGCAACACCACCGAGACAGAGCTCAGGATAAGTGTGTAAACTCCATTGGTGGCAAAAAAGGTGAAACCGTTTGCTGTGGTCCACCCCAACAAGCGAGTGAGAACAGTCTGAAGCAACCACTCAATAACCCTCATGTTCGACGACAGAAAAAAATGTGACATAAAGGCTGTTTGCAACAGTAGGAGGAAGTTGTTTAATGATAGCATTGATCTTTATACCGAAGACTGGATGTGGTGGTGGGGACAAAGACAGGAGTAGATGTAGACTTGTCAACTTTTGCATCCACAGAGAGCAAAATACCCTTTACGTGATGAGAGAAATATTCTGTTGGAAGTATGGAAAGATCTGTCTGCATTCCCACTGGATTAGAAAAAAGCAAAGATGAGCAGATAGGTAGATCAATAGCAGTAAAAGACTGACTAGTTCATAGAAAATAAGTAAATGAAACAGTATTGAAGAGAAAACTTTTATGATGTGAGAGCACATACTCCACAGAACGACTCCTCCCATCAATATCAACACCACTGCAGAGGAAATTGTGTCCAATGAAGTCTCCCAAGATGAAGAATGGAGATGGCAACTGGTCAATAATATCATCAAGGTCTGAGTGATCGTAAATCTCTCCTGGTGACAGATAAAGAGAAGATACAGTGATGGTACGACCCACAGAGATACGGACTCCCACAGCTTTCAAATGTGTACTGAGTGGCACAGACATAGTGGGTACGTGCTGGTCAACCAACGGTGCCACACCTCCATGAATTCGCATATTACACAACCTATCATTCTTGTACAAGGAAAACTGCCGAAAGGTGATAGTATCAGCAGGTCGAAGGAATGTTTCTTGCAAGGAGAGACGGGATGATATAAATCGATCAAGGTCTTAATGTCACTCAAATCGAACGAAAACCTCCACAGTTCCGCGGTATCAGAGTGGCCATTTTTACTTTCAAAGAAGATAACTGAGAAGAGAACCCTTTTATTTGCGACCACGACCTTTTTCTTTAGTAGAAAGAGGTCTATTGATCTCCATGGAACCTGCCTTAGGACAGTTGGGCACATCTGTCGAACGAAAGAGACTCCAGGGATTAAGGGCGTTACTGAATAATGGTTCTGCACTTCGGTGTTGAAGGACAGGGACCCAAACAGTCACTGGATGTGGGGGTGGGGACAAAGAAAGGAGCAGATGTCAACTTGTCAATTTTTGCATCCACAGAGAGCAAAATAGTCTTTACGTGGTGAGAGAAAGACTCTGTTGGTAGTATGGAGAGATCTGTCTGTATTCCCAATGTAGCAAATAGAATGGTGTTTAGCAGCATATGTCCGAGATGGAACAGGAGACAACAACTTCAGAGCCTCGGGGTAAGAAATGTTGTCTACAGTATATAAACGTTGTACCTTCCCTCACTTAAGGCAAGAACGAAACTATGAGAGATGGGAACCACCACAATTGACGCAGTGAGAGTCCACTTGACACTCGTAGGCGTCATGGTTTTTGCCATTACAACGAGCACATGTCAAGGAACCATGACAAGACACCTTAGAATGTCTGAACCACTGACTCTGGAAATACCTGAGAGAGTTAGGAACATATGGCCGTACCTTACAGTTCAAATAACCCACCTTGATAGTGGCAGGTGGACGTGGCAATATAAACGTCAGTATAAGAACATTGATAGGCAGCATAATCCCCTCTTTATGAGTGGAGATACGTCACACAGCAGAAACGTCTTGGCTGGAGAAATCAGTGAGGATTTCTGACTCGTGGATTTTCTTTAAACGCCTCTGAATGATA